GGGGCCCCTCATGGAGACACAGCAACCTCAAGGAGAGGCCCCTCATGGAGAGACAGCATTTGCCAAAAGAAAGAATTGTTTCACTGGCATACAACACTCCTGAACAACACAAGCTCAGCCAACACAGTCTTCTGTGTTTTGCAGGCATACTTTATTTACCTGAATCCAAGATTACTCTGAATTTAAGATGACCCCCTAAAAATTAGATTCCAGACATGGAACATTTATAAATGATATCATGTTCGATGTCCAGAATCTAGTTTTTGGAGGGTTGTCTTCAGTTTGTGTTCCTCTCTCCCCCACATTGGGGCAAGGAATAAATGGTAGAAGGGCAAGCCGCAGGAGAGTTAACTGGCCTGACCTCTGCTCCTTGCCATCTGTCCCCTGCCACCACTTCCTGCCACGCTGGTACCTTCCTCCCGTGTGGCCCCCCTCCTGCCTGCCTATCCAGCACCTGGGCCCCCTGGTGCCTGCTCCTCCTTATGATGCCTCCACCCCCTGGAACCTGTGCCCCCTATGACTTGCCTCGCTCTTGCCTGCCCCCCACGTTACCTCCCCCCTTCTGCCTACTTCCACATTACTGCCCACCCCACTGCTGCCACTGCTGCTTACTTTCCCCTCACAACTCTGGTTTGGGTTTGAGCCCCACTCTGGCCTGGGGCAGAGAGCACAAGGCACATGCTGCCTCCAGCTGCTGCCTGTAGCCACAACTCAGGCACAGCTGCTGGTCCCCTGCTGCTTGTACTTCAGTGGTGACACATAGGGAGTGTGTGTGCACCCCATGAGAGTGCTGGTGCACCCCCTGACCTTGCTGTCCCTGCAAGCACCAGCTGATCGCTGCAATCACTGCAGCTGCTTCCAGGAGCAGCTGCAGTGATCCGCCTGCGCTTGCTCCCAAAAGTGGTTGCAGCCACTCCCAGAAGTAGCTGCAGTTGCAGCTGCAGTGATCCCAGTGATCGGCTGCAGCGATTGGCTGTTGCAGGATTGCCCGTGGGGGGGGACGCCCCCCCAGGTCAGCAGGACAGGTTGCAGGGTGGGGGGGGCACATGCCTCCCCTAAAGCTGCACCAGTTGCCCATGTTGTACTTGAATCTAAGACAAGGAGCTTTCCCACCCATGTTGACTGGGGAAAAATCCGTGTCTTGGATTTCAGTAAATACAGTAGTTATCTCACCATATCACTAAAATTGCACTGCTGGTGCATTATGGTGGAACTTTTCCTACCATAAGCAAACCCTAGGAGGAAGACTTTGCTAGCCAGGGGACACGTCATGTCAACTTAGGCCCCCACAACACAGATAAAGGCACAATAGGATGGCAGGAGTCGTGATTGTGAGATTGCACATTAGATGCCATTGTATCTTATTGCCTGGGATCAGGCTCCCGCTGCACTGGTAAGAAGCAAGCTCCCATGGTTGGGATCTCCCTCAGTTGAAGGACTCTCAGTTACAGGGGTTCCCCTCACACCCCCGGGGCTGCAGGATTGTGGCAGCTGTGATCACCCAGGCTTGTGGGGGGGGGGCATGAAATTCCCAGGGCCCTGGGGGTTGCAGCACCTGTGATGCCTAAAGCTTGGGGGTTTCATGCTAGGCATGGTGCACTCCTGCAGCTGGGACCCCTGTCAGCTGACAGGGATCCCAGCCACAGGGGAGACCCTGCTACACATGCAAATGAAAGCTTGATAGCAACCAGCTATAGTTAGTACACATTTTCAAGGTCTAACTTTATAGCTGGTTGGAGCTTTTCATTGCGAGACAAGTACTTTGCATGTGTGGCTGGCCTTAAAGTAATTATGTACTTAATCAGTTAATTGCATGATACCTGTAATGTGTAGAAGAGGCCTTAGAGGTACTCTTTGTAGCAGGGATTGGCAATTTGTGAGCCCCCAGACCACTGGATCAAGCCTGCTGCGTTGCTGCTGCAGGTGGGATTCTGCCACTGCTCCTGATAAAAAATTTCCTGGCTTGCGGGGAGACCCACAAAGCAGATGACACAGCTCCACATGCTGGATCTGGTCTTTTGAGTACAACTGATTTAGAGTGGTAAGAAATTGTTTCTCTAAACTTTGTATCTTGTTGTATAAATTGCTGTTTTTATGTAGGTGGCAGAAGTGACCAATAATTATGTTTTTATTACTTAGTTACTTCTTTCACCTTGAAAAGATTCACTTGGGAATCACTAGGAATCTTTCTATGGACCATTCCATAATCTTTGGATCAAATCCTCAGCATTCTTTTCCTGATTAAGTGGTTGGTAATGTAACATCATTTCTATTCTGATGACTCAGAATTTATATCCATACTTATTTTGTTCCCCTCCATTCAGAAATGTTATTACATTAACTTCTATGATACACATCAACTCATTGAGTAACAATTGTCTTAATTTTATGCAGAAAGTTACAATTTTGTTAAAGCTAGAGGAATCATCAAGCTTTTCATCTCTAAATAAAAAAACTATTTTAATAGGAGAAATATGGCTACCTTCCCCCCAAACCAACAAAATTAATTTATTTTACTCGAACAATTACTACAAATTCCAAAACTAAGTTTAACTTGAACAATACCATCTCTCCCTGCATATAGATTCAGGGGAAAAGTGCCACTTACCATTGCTACAGATAAATTTGAAATGTATTTTAAATTAATTTTTAAATGTGTATCTTAATATCTATTTTAATTAACATACACTTATGAAACTTGCCTCAGAATTAATTTATTTTGCCCTATATAAATTCTCAGCCATAAACAGGACAAGTTACAACATACCAGTGCTACCCACTGCAGTTCTGACAGCTCAAACCCCAGTGCACAAAAATGAATCTGTTGATTTGTAAGAGTCAAGTAACTGGAACATTTGGCTATGTAAATGAATAAAGTCCTGGACTCTCTCATCTACTGTCCAGAGATCCTGTCTCCTTTGCCAGCTGTTCTATAACATGACATTGGTAGGGTGACAGCAGGGAGGCTGCATTAAGAGGCTTGGGGTCAAAACAGAATTAAATTCTTCCATGTCCAATCCTCTGCTGACAGGAAGGGATATTATACCTCCTCTGTTATGGCCTTCTCTTATTATCACTTCTTCTAAGGCTAGAATATCCTGATTTAGAAAGCTGCAGCCCAGCTTCCTACAGCAAACCTTCTGCAGTGAAAAATCAGGGCCTGAATTAGATTACCCTTCTTAAACTGTAATAAATTCAAATTCTTCAGTATATTATTCTGCACTCCTAATGAAAGGTGCTTTCTTTTAGACTGAAACAAGCTATAAATAATATACATCAGACACGCACGCATATTAGGGCTGTCAAACAATTAAAAAAATTAAATGTAATTAGCTGCGAGATTTAAAAAAATAGTTGCAATTAATCATGATTTTGATCGCAGTTAAACAATAATCAGCACCCCCTGCCTGCCAACCCAAGAACTCAGAGCCTGTGCACCCTGTGACTCTTCCTTCCCAAAAACAGCGCACAGACCTAGCCCAGACCCCAGCCCATCCTGTGCCTGCTCTGGACTTGCACCTGCCAGAGCAGGCCAGCCAGAACCTGTGTGAACAGCCTCAACCCTGGCCCACTCTGTGCCTGCTCCAGACTCACCTGCCTATGCTGAGAGCAGAACAGCAGTGGTGGCTGGGCAGAAACTGCTGCTTGGCATGAGGGAAAAGCGCCCCTCCCCCTTGCCACTGCTGGGCTTTTCTTCCTGCAGCTGCCTGGAGCCTGTGCCCGGGCTGCCCTGCAGCTCCTCTGCACTGCCACCGCTACCCTGAAAGGTGGCCTGAAGGAGGCAGTGATGACAGCAGAGACGGGCATGGGCTCCAGGCATCTACAGCAAGAAGGGCCCAACAGCGGCAAGGGGGAGGGACCGCTTTTCTCCCATGATGAGCAGCAGCTTCTGCCTGACCGCCACCACTGCTGGCACTGCCCAGCATGGGTGGGTGAGTCCAGAGCAGGCACAAGGCAGGATGGGGTCAGAACTGTGTGGGCAGATTCCAGCTGGTCCACTCTGCCAGACTAAGTCCAGAGCAGGCACAGGGTGGGCCGGGGAAGGGCTGTGCACGTGGGTTCCCATCAGTACCACCGGGCTGGGGCCAGCAGCAGCACGATGTGTGCAATTAACACTTGTTTACAAAATTAGTGCATTAATTGCACTAAGTTAACTGCAATTAACTAACAGCCCTAATATATATGATTCTCTTTTATAACCAATTTTAAAATGGTTCCCAAACAAACTCTCTAAGGCTGATCCATCTAACATATCACTTAACTTAGATAAATATGTCATAGAACAGCATTTCTCAACCCATAGGTTATGACCCAAAAGTGGGTTGCAAGAATATATGAAAGGATCACAAACAAACTTTAAAAATGTATTCTACTTTAAAGGAGAAAAATGAGCTCCAGGCTGAAAGGGGCTGCTTGGACCCCCCATCCCCATCCTCCACCCCCTTCCCAGGCTGGGAAGCTGGGGCCTGGAGGGCAGCAGGTCAGGAACGAGCAGCACTGGTTCCACACTGACCATCGATGCTTACAAATGGGTCCTGTACAAAAAATGTTCAGAACCAGTCACAGAACATAGCGGATATGGATAAATTACCAAACCACTCTTGACTGGTAAGCTATGAAAAACAGAATTCAGTAATGAAATAAATCCAGCAGATGTATGCATTGTGGAATCAACATTATATCCTGAGCTATAATTCTCATCGTCACTGTAATTTAGAATAAGAGGAATATTTTAGTGGCCTTCTATCACCTTCAACTAAGGTAAGACACGGAAATGATTCTTTGCTATAGAAAAATCTTAATATTTTTTCCTATGATTTTGACATACAAAAGAAATTTAGAGTGGACCCAGCTATAATTCTGAGATGAAATGATTGCAATAGAAGGATACCCTATATAACCTGGAAGCAAAACAGGAATTCAAGAAGCACCACAGTGGAAACCAGCCCTCAAAATAAAGATAAAATACACCTAGCTGGAAACAGAAAGAGTACAATATAGGCAGCTGTTCAGGAGTTTTTACTCATTAAATATTTGTTATTGCATGCATTTATAAGGCGTCTATCACAATGACATGAATCACTAAGAGTCTTATTTAAAGGAGGCACTAGTTCAAAAATGCACAAAAAGTATGAAACTCAACCATTCCAGTTAAGGAGAGCCTACAGAGATTTGACATACAGTTCTTTAACATCACTTTTTCATGACTAAAATGACCTACGGTTACAAGATTGGTTAAAGACAGGTAAATGGGCTGAGTCAAGAATAAGTTGTGATCTCCTTTCAGAAATTACTATGGAATGAAATGATGGTTCACTGCTCAAAATCTAAGTGAACAGGTGCATGAGTGTATATGTGAAAGTGTGTGCACGCACGTGCATACATGTATGTATCCTGTGAAAGTGGCACCTTGGCTGGCTACACAATGAAACCAAGTATATTAATTTTAAAAATTCTCATCTCTAAATATGGTCCTGCTAAAACCTGGTTACTGCTAAAACACATTTGACAGGATATTCTGGGGAAGTCTGTGGTGCCATAGTGGCTGTAATGTAAAGAACTTCCAATTCTCAGAAGCAGTCAGGTATAACGTAGTTTTGTTTAAAAAAATAGAACTGGACTAGCCAATTACTGTAATACAGGAAGCAATATTAACAAATTTGCAGTAACTTTAATATGTGCACTTGCGTTTATATTTAAGAAAAGCTTCATTTATTTTATTAAAAAAGTGTTACTTGTACAGTGAAGATAGAAGTTTCCCAAATGTAAAGTAATACTTTCCCCTTCCTCTTGCATAATGCTATCTCATTTGTTCTGAAACAAGGGCTCTTTGTTGAGATTTCTACAGGCAGACAATGGAATTTCAGTGAACAATTCCCAAACCTAAAACTAAACTGTGCGGTTTACATATTGAACCTACTCTAACTCCCACTGAATTAAATTGGAAAAATGAATGAATAAGTTGCAATTTCTTTCAGGATCTTACATGCAGTTTTTCTAGCAGTAGGTAGAGTATATTCAAAGTGATGTGATTTAAGTTAAGAATATTCCTTTAAAACTTGCATAAATGAATGTTCTCTCAAGTAAGATTTTTAATTGTGGAAGTGCTTCCTGTGTTTCTGATAACTGAAACTGCCTGCCTCGTTATATCATAATGCCAGTTGTACAAATGCATTTGCTATTCCATGGAGCTGAGTCATGTTTGGAAGGGAGATGAGCTTCACCAAGTACCACACCCATACAGTAAACCAAGCAATTACACTCATTTGGAAACACTGCAGTGTTTTTAAATCATGTTATTTGACATGTGACTACAGATTATATTTCATTTCTGCATAAGGTATACATTTTTACTTATTTATCATACTTCACCAATAGTTTATTTGGCCCAGAGAAGAATGATGTACTATCATCATGATTTCTTTTCAGTTTAACACACCACAATAGGCACCGTTAAGCAGGGAGAGAGATATCCTAAGCAAGGCTAACCCAATGCTCCTCTTTTTCTCTAAGAAACTTTTTCCCCTTTACTTGCTTTCAAAGTTTGCTCATATGCCTTAAGCATCAGAAAGTTTGCAGTTGGAGTTCTGTGGCTTTGAAAGACTTGGAAAAATTTTAAAGGTATGTCCATAGATAACATTATCTCGAAGTGCATAGTAGACCCTTTGAAGGGAACAGCATTTCATTTCACACCACAGAGGTTGTACTTTCAGGATTTACACGCATAAGTCTTGAAGCATTCCTCAGATCCTGTAGCTGCTTGGCTGGCTTTCCGACCCCTTCCTCAAACCTTTTCTCTATGACAGGAAGAACAGTTTCATACAGGAAGGATGCATTCTGCCTGATGAATGCTTTCTTCTCAGGGTCCTGTTCACACCGCAAACTGTAATCAACATGCTGAACAGCTACAAGGATGATTTCCACAAGACTTTCCAGGAGAACCATGTGCAATTCTGGGAAGTAAAGCTTTAGTGCTTCCTCCAAGAAGGCCATAGTCTGCTTGGTAAAAGCAACCACAGTGTAGCTAAGATTGACCCAGCAGTCATCACCTGTGTACTGGTCAAAACTACAGACACCACAACTTCTCATTTCCTCTCTGAGTTTCCCCAGAGCCTCAGGAGTCATCAGGTTCATCTTTCTCCACATCTCTTCAGAGTTGCGATGCTTGGTGGCCTCAATGATGATATCCTTGTAGCTTTGCAAAGCACCTTTGATGTCTTTCACCAGCAGGGTGTGAATGATGAAGGTAAGGTCCAGTCCAATCTCACTAAGCTGCTTACAGTGCTCCTTAGCTACCTACAATAACAAACATCATTATAAATACTTATCTGTATGCCACATAGATATGAGCTACTTAACCACCCCAACACCCATGAAAATAGGTAATTCTTAGTCCTAATTTGCATACCTGAAGAATTAGGCAGAGAATAAGAGTCTGGAAAAGAATACACATTGCACTTTATTCTGCCTCTCTTCAACTTATGTATCGGACTTTTTTAAATGACAGAAATACAGATCCTGTCTACCATAAAAACACTACAGACATTTACAGAAGTGATTGAGAGTAGGTTCAGGCTAGACATCAGGAGACACTACTTCACAGTCAGGGTGGCTAGGATCTGGAACCAACTTCCAAGGGAAGTGGTGCTCGCTCCTACCTTGGGGGTCTTCAAAAAGGAGGCTAGATAATCACCTACCCAGGGTCATTTGATCCCAGCATTCATTCCTGCCCATGGCAGGGGGTTGGACTTGATGATCTGCTCAGGTCCCTTCCAACCCTATCAACTATGAAACTATGAAACATAATTATGATAAAGATGTCACAGTTCAGCAACTGAGAAAAAAAGGAGTTCAGTATTTTTCTTAAAAGCCTTTGTTAAGGCATATTATCATGACAATCCAATAAATATTTTGTAGAAAGGGATTCTTTGCTAAAGTTTCAATACTCCCACTCTTTTAAGTAAGGCCAACACTGGCATTTCTGATAGTAGTGGGGTAAAACACAAACCGAAGAAAAGCAATGCAAAGCCCTCCACACCCTCCCTTTACTAAAGAAAAGCTATAGGTGAACCTGTTTTACCACCTCCTGCCCAAAAACAGTAAGTTAGCCAAGGGAGGATGAGACATACAGGGCTGCAGAATTCCAGGTTTCTGCTCAATTGACTGGACTGTGCTTTCTTACACGTGCTTACCTTCACACATTCAGCAGCAGTTGACAAGCTCTCTTTGCTGTCAAACACCTGCTTGCTGAAGGCGTCTACAAACATCTTCATGGCAGAGCGTGCCCACACAACAAAGGCAGAGTAGCAGCCACTGTTACCAGCAAAGTCCGTCTCAAACTCCCTGGCAGTCTCCAGCAAGCTGGTGAAAAACACATGGCACAGCTTGTGGATGTACAGCAGAGTAGCACCTTCAATGCGCAGCTGACGGATGGCCGTGTGCACAGCGGCCGCCCGGTTCTTCAAGAACAGCTCGCAAGCCTTGGTCGACTGACCCAAGCGAATGAGCTGAGACACAGCCCGGCGAGTAGCCCTTGGCCCACCACGCAGCGAGCGATCTGGAGAGAGCTCAAACACCAGCACATCTGTGAGCTGCCTAACTCTCTCATCCACTTTTGTCCGGAGCTCCCTCACCGGCTGGCTGACGGGCTTGTCTGCCAAATACTCGTTCAGCTTATCGAGCAGGTCCACTGCACCCTCAAAATCCCTCTGGGCAATGCAGACATCCAGGTCCTCAGGAAGCTCCTGGATCCACTCCAGGGACAGATCCACTTTCTCCTGCTCGGGTGGAGGCTCCACTTCATCCTCATCCTTCTCGAAGGGGTTGGATGACTCTGGAGAGGGCGGGGCTGCCCGCGGCAGAGCCTCCTGCTCCAGCCGCAGCTTCTCACTCAGGGCACGGCTCCGCTTGGTCTCCTCCAGCACCTCCAGCCACTCCTTCTTGATCTTGGCGTTCTCGGCCTGGAAGATGCGGCTCTCGGGGAACATGAGCAGCTTGAACATGTCCTTCATGGGCGGGTTGTCCTTGACATTGACCACGGCCAGCCCGTCCAGCGGGTAGAGGGCATCGTAGAGGTAGGCGCCACGCCGGTTGGGCAGCCAGGTGGCCACCAGCAGGCAGTCATTCATGAGGAAGGCGTGCACCCGCTGCACCTGCGCCATGTGGTCAGCATCGTACTCCACCAGGTCCCCATTGTATACCAGGTACTTGCCAGGGCTCTCAGGCAGCAGGTCCCGGCAGCCCTCCACCTTCTCCAGCAGGGTGGTGAGCGTGCGTTGCCGGCCCTCCTCGCTGACTGCCACCTCCTTGGCTGACAGGGGCAGGAAGGGGTTGTTGCCGTGAGAGTCGGTGGCGGCACGGCGGACGCCCAGCGCGGGGTCATCACGGTCAGCCTGCAGCAGCAGGGCCTGGGTGACGGCCTCCATGATGCCCTTCTGCTCCGTGAGGATGTGGCTGAGCTGGTACATCTCGCTCTCCAGGTAGCTGATCTCGCGCGCTGTCTCGATGAACTGCCGGTAGTTCTGGTAGACGTTGCGCTTCAGGCTTTGCGCCGTCTCCTCGCTCAGCGCCTGGATGCGCTGCCGGTGCTCTTGCAGGTCCCGGTCGCCGTCCGACTGCTGCGACAGTTGCTTCACGTACTCGCCCG